ACAATAACAGCATGGTAATCTAAACAACAGCATGGTGGTGCTGTGGGTTAAGCATTGGGCTGCTAACTGCGATGTTGGCAGTTCAAACCCAGCAGCAGCAGCTCTGTGGAAGAACTATGAGATAGTGTATTCCTATAAAGATGTAGAGTCTCTGAAACCCTAAGGAGAAGTTCAAGTCTGTCCTACATAGGGTCGTGATGAGTCAGAAGTCTTGGTGTGGTGCTGTGGAATAAGTACTGGACCACAGGAAACCTCATACATGGTCGGGAACTGACCTTCTAAGTTATCCAGGTTGGGAACTGACTCCACGGCACTTAACGAGGCAGAATGATAGCATTGGGTCGGATTGGGTTTTTAGATGATAATCTATGTTTGGAGTCTGGGTTTGGTGCTATGGGTAATGTGCTGGACTCTAAAGTCAGTTTGAACTACAAGGTCAGTGGTTCAAATATACCACCTACTCCTTGGACACCCTATCCAAAGTTGCTATGAGTAGGAACTGACTCAGTGGCACTTAACAACAATAACAACAATTTATGTTTAACTTTTCAAGGAACTGCCATCTGTATTCCACAGTGGTTGCAACATTTTATAATCTCACTAGCAGTGTACGGAGTCCTGGTTTGGCGTTATAGGAGAAGCACTGGACTGCTACCCGAAAGGTCAGCATTTCAGACCTTTTGGACTCAAAAGGCAGTTACAACAACAGCAGTGTATGATGAAGGTTCTGATTTTCCCACATCCTTGCCAACACCTGCTAATGTCTTTTTGATTCTAGCGATCCTAGTGGGTGTGAGGGAATCCTGGTGCAGCTATGTGGGATAAAGCACTGCACTGCAAGGCTGGTTTGAACCACAAGATCGGCAGTTCAAGCGCACCAGCCACTCCTTGGGAACCCTATACGGGCTCGCTATGAGTCACAACAGACTGGATGGCACTTCACAACTTTGGGTATGATATCACATCTCACTGTGATTTTGATTTGCATTTTTCTAAAGGCTACTGATGTGTTTCTTACCTTTTTGGATAACTGTCTATTTAAATCTTTTGCCCATTTTTAAATTATGTTTTGACATTTTATTGTTGAGTTTGTAATGTATTTTAAATGGTCCCATTGCACTGAGAATACATGGGTGGACCTAAAGCTGAGCTGAATTAATGAACATCATGAATCTTCTAATATGGTTAATGAAATCTACGTACCTACTAAACATTCTGTGATTTCTACCACTAGTTATCGTCACCTCCCTGCTAAAGCTGCTCTACTCTGAAACTCTTGAAGGTATCGCCATCTTCTCATCATGTAGGGTAGGGTGTTAACACCCACCAGGGTTGGTTTCCGCTTTCTAACCAGCTTCATCGGCTCATCTCATTATCGGAAAGGGTTTAGTCACTGTCATGTGGATTATGTCGGTATTCCTAGGGCTGGGGTACCTCTAGGTTCTTACTGCCCCTAACCTAGCCTGCCTTTTAGTTCCCAGTAGCTTCCTCCTCTGTTCCCTCCTCTATGCTGACCTCAGAGTATCTTCTAAATTATAACTTTGAACACATCCCTTTGCTGCTCACAAAAGCCAGCATAGTTTTCTTCTCCTAGTATCTCTAAGCTACAGAAAAACTCACTCAGGGGTTTCTCACATTCTTCAAGAATCATTAATGTGTTTGTTTGTATCTCTCATAAGTTAGAAACTTCAAAACAGTTATTCATGTGAAAACATGGATTAGAACAAGTGAAAGTGTCCAAGCAAATAAAAAGGTAGTTATGCTATAGAGAAATGAAAGTAGATGTCAGATGCTTGTTCAGTGTGGTTCTTAGTAGTAGAAACCTTTGGGGACAAAGCTTAGGTACAGATAATGATCAGCTATACTTGTCACATTACCTATGGCCTCTGGACCACATGCTATGCCATATATTGCAGTTTGTACTGAAAGAACATAGGCTCTAAATTTAGATCTGTTCATTCTCATGCTCTTCTTGATAGCAGCAGGTTAGACACTATATTATGATGTACTTCCACAGTGCAACATGGCAAAACAACTTTTCATATTGTGATGAATATTTTTGCAGTTCCATCAACATGGATGTGGAGAAAATTGTCTATACTAGAAAACAATTCTGTGGTCCAACCTTTTCCCAATCCTTGGAATCCTGGTGTGGTGCTGTGGACTAATGTGCTGGACAACAAAGTCAGTTTGAACCACAAGGTCAGTGTTGTTCAAGCTCACCAGCTGCTCCTAGGAAACCCTGTACAGGGTGGCTATGGGTTGAAACCGACTCTACGGCACTTAACAACAACAACAATAATCCTTATACAAAAGATAAAAAACCACAGGGCCAGATTTCCCTCCGTAATCTCAGGATTTTATCACATTCAGCATCCAGCATTGAGAGTGTACAACAAAGAGAAGTGTTTCTATAATGTTGTCTTCAAAGTATTTTAGTAATCAAAATCAGTATTAATTAATAAATTATTCTTTTAGAGAATGAGTTCAATTATTCCAAAGTTTAATCATGTAAATTCAGTTACAAGGAGCTAGACACCATAAATTAAACAAAATGTCTGAATGAACAATTTTACACTTTTGCCCATACAATCCTGTGTGCATCACTTAGACCAAGAAAAACAAAACAAAACAAACAAAAACTACCACAACAAAAACTAGTGAGCAAAGAAAACCTTTTCTAAAATTCAGGACAAATATAATTGCTGGAACTGAAAGACAAGAAATGTAGGTTTAAAAAAAAAAAACCCACAGAGAGAGAGATGTTTTCTATTGTATAGATTTTTCTCTTGGGCATAATTATAAAGTGACATTCAAGTGCAACCAATGAAGTTCCAATTTTTTTCTCACAAAATTCAAAGACATCAGCAAAACCACCTATGTCAGTAATAAAAATAAAGACTCTTTGACTTTTTAAATGTTATCATACTGTCACAGTGGAATAAAATTAGCCTGAAAAATGATCTGCAGGCCCACGATGCAGTTCATTATGTAGAAGAGCAACAGCAGCGGTTTCCCGGTGTTCAGAAAGGCTGTCCCATTAAACTGTCCTCCAGTCAATAATTAGGAGTCCACAAATAAACCTGGGCAATTCAATCAATACTGCCAGGCAATCACATTCCAGAGTCCAGGCTCAGCGGCACAAAAAAGGCACTATATCAAACTACAGTATTAAGCGGTTTGATGTAATTTGCAACAGGGTTTTTGTTTGTTTGTTTGTTTGCAAGAACTGGAGAGTATACCCATACATCTAGCGCATGTAGGATGGGTCACATCCTTCTACTGTGTTACCAACATAGCAGTTCCAGTGTCGGGGTAGCATCTGCAAACCTTAACAAAGATTTATACATGTGTGCTGGCATTTGTTGAGTCGGTTCTGATTCATAGCAATCCTGTATAGGCTTTCCAAGGAGCAGCTAGTGGGTTTGAACTGCTGACCTTGTGGTTTGCAGTCCAGTGCTGATCCTATAGTGCCATGGTATGAGTCCTATGCATGTGTACTTGTTATTTTTTATGTTAATAATTGATAAAATTACCAATGAAATGGAAATACAAGGTCTTATTTTAAAGTTGAACAAGAAAACATTCCTTAAATAGTTAATTTTTAAAAATCATTTTCAATCTGCCCAAACATGTCATCATTATGGAGTTCCTATGGCATATGCCAGGTACTGGCTGGGTTCTGGGCATTCACAGGGTTAAGAAATGGCTTCTTCCAAAGCTAGGTATTGTTACTGGGAAACTCTTCGAGGTACAGCTACATGTCTGCTCCTAAACAGCTTTAAGCAGAAGACTGCCCATCACCTTTCCAATAGTACTGAGGTGATTCTGGGGGAACATGTCAAAAATGTATAAAACTGACACCAAGAAGATGGGTAGCTTGTAAATGACTAGCTTATATGCGACTTAATCTGGGCTTTAGGAATAGCAGAGAAATTTCTTTTTGTTGATTACAAATGTAAAGTTATGACATTTACATGTCGGTTTCTGCTTTTATTCTTTACACAGAAACACGTAGTGACTTTCCAAACATCACGGGTCAAAACTAATTTTTGTTGCTATTTATTTAGACAAATATGTTTTGCTTTTATTTATTCCAGTTCATTTTTAAGAAGAGACAATTAGGCTGGGCAAAGGAAACGATGGCAACACTGCAGACTACATGTCAGTGATGTCAAAACCAAAGCCAGCCACGAGTAGAAAAGCAGGGCTCTCACCTGCCAATAAACTGCCCTTGATCACTTACAACCGGGCCACATCCCAGCAGACTATCTGAGTCTGAAAAAAACACTTGAAAGGGAAGGAAAAGTATCACACAGGCCACAGCCGCCGTCTCAATAGAGCCCTCAGGGACTACAGCTCGCCTTGGCCTTGTCATCCTCTATGCAGCTCTCGGCTCGGCCCAGAAAATGTCGATAGGAAAATGTTTGAGGGGCCTCTGGTGGAAATTTTTTCATTCTTTCTGCATTGACAGGATGCCAAATCAATATTTACTTCCCACTAACAAGCTGCTCGAGGTCTCAGTAGAAAATATTGTAGAGAATGCGGGAAGACACAGTAATAAACAGCTGTCTGGCTGTGAGGAAAACATGAATTGACTGGAAACAGGTCCATAGTAAAAGGTCACTGAAACCCATGAACTCCTCAGGTGTCCATATCAACTACTAACTTTAAAGACACATCGTAAAGAATCTCTTCTCCTAAGAGGTCTGAGAGAATGGATCCTTTTCTGTCTAGCAGGCACAGAGGCCGACTCAATAATTTAATTAATGCATTTGCTAAGACCCATGTTGGCTCTTTCCCAAGGCATTTGTTTCATTTGTTAAGTCCAAAAGTACAAATAGAGGGTTAACTTTCTTGTCTACTTCTTGGCATACTTCTTTACCTTACAGAAGGAAGTAATGTGTAAGTATTTACAAAAAGTTAGACTTAGAGTAAAACTGTAAGGCTTGGGATTCTTATCTGGGAAATTTTCATATATAAAGTGCAAAATGAAGTACCTGTCCTTCGAGAAGTTTCTGAATGTACAACAGCCACTCCTTGTCATTCTCGGCATCTATCTTTGCTCTTTCAATTTCCTACAGGAGGAAAATAAAAACACTGCTGTTAACTGCATTTTTAATACACTTGACCATAGTTAGTTTGAGGATTAAGGTGCGCCTGACCCAAGCCATGGTATTTTCAATAACCTCATATGCATGCGAAACTTGGATGGTGAAAAAGGAAGACCGTAGAAGAATTGATTCATTTGAGTTATGGTGTTGGAGGAGAATATTGAAAAGTACTATTGACTGCCAAAAGAACAAATAGATTTGTGTTGGAAGAAGTACAGCCAAAAGCCAGGATGGCCTGATTTCATCTCTCATATTTTGGATATATTGTCAGGAGGAACCAGTCATTGGAGAAGGATACCATGTTTGGTGAAGTGGTGGGTCTGAGAAAAAGAGAAAGACCCCGACCCAAGCAAGATGGATTGACACAGTGGTAGCATCAATGGACTCAAGTGTAGCAACGATTGTGAGGTTTTCCTAGGACTGGAAAGTGTTTCGCTCTATTGTGCTTAGAGTTGCTATAAATCAGTACAGACTTGATGGCACCTAACAACAACAACAATACTATTAAGATACTGCTTAAATCTAGAGAGATAATGGTAGAACTAGCGTCAACAAAGAACAGCCTGTTATATTAAAGTGGGACTGATTTAAATCCACAATTTCAACATTTAACTTCTAAATATTTACATGGGGAGCACAATGGCTCAGTAGGATATGCAATGGACTGCGAACCATAAGGTCAGAGGTTCAAGCCCACCATTCTACAAGTGAGAAAGAGGAAGCTTTTTGCTGAAACAAAGTTTTATAGACTCAAAAACCCTGTTGCTTCTGTTGTTAGGTACCTTTGGGTAGGTACCAGCTCATAGCAACCCTATGCAAAACAGAACAAAACACTCCCTGTCCCGTGACAACCTCACAATTGTTGATACGCTTGAGCCCACTGCTGCTGCCACTGTGCCAATCCATCTCATTGTGGGTCTTCCTCTTTTTCAATGACCTTCCACTTTACCAAGCATGATGTTCTTCTTAAGGGACTGGTCCCTCCTGACAATATGTCCAAAGCATGAGAGATGAAGTCTCACTATCATAGATTCTAAGGAACAGTCTAGCTGTACTTCTTCTAACACAGCTTTCTTTGTTTTTTGGGCAGTCCATAGATTTTTTAATCTTCTACTTCAACACCATAACTCAGATACATCAATTCTTTTACAGTCTTCTTTTTTCATTGCCCAACTTTCACATGCGTATGAGGCTATTGAAAATACCATGGTTTGGTTCAGGTGAACCTTAGTCTTCAAACTGACATCTTTGCTCTTGAACATTTTAAAGAGGTCTTGTGAAGCATATTTGCCTAATGCAATATGTAGTTTGACTTCTTGACTGCTGGTTCCATGAGTGCTGATGGTAGATCCAGCGCTGACGCCACAGTTTTCCCACGGTACAGAGAGAAGAATCTTGGCAGCTACTTATGACATCAGCTGCAGGGACACAGCCCTAAAACTGACTTGTGTGGGACCCTTGGTGGCTGTGCACTGTGAAGTTGGTTCCGACTCGTGGCAATCCTGTGTGGGATTTCCAAGGCTGTGGGTCTTTGTGTGAGCAGAGCACCTCTTATTTCTTGCACAGTGCGGCTGGTAGTTTCAAGCTGCTGACCTTGCGGTTCACGGCCCCATTTGTGGCCGCTCTGCTGCCTAAGCTCCTTGTGCAGGACCCTTATACAGGCCTATATAGCAAAAGAAAAGCAGGCACTTCAGGCCTGACAAACAAACCATAGAGCAATCTGTAAAACACCAACATAAAAAGGACTCAACCATCTCGAGAATTGTGCTGTGCACACACACATATCTAACTGACCTTCAGAGACAAAAATAGTGGGCAATCTTTCTCCCATTAACTTCTCAATATCTATTTGTACACCTCTATTGTAGTGTGACTACAGGAGGGGCCTGAGTGAGCAGACACCCTCACCCACTGCTCCGAAAAGGGGTGGAGGAAAACAAGGAAGAAGTCAGGAAAGTACAACAAGAGCAATCAAACAAGATCGATACAGCATTGGAAACAATTCAAAACCTGCAAAAAGAGATCCAGAAGATGAATAATAATATATCAGAAATGGACAATACACTGAAAGGGGAAAGGAACAGAATAGAAGATATGGAAGCCAAAACTAGTGAAATGGATGACAAATCTCTCAATACTGATAAGATAGAAGAGCAAGTGGAAAAAAGGATTAAAAAAATCTGATGAGTGTCTAAGATTCATGCTGGATAACATGAAGAGGAACAACTTAAGAATCATTGGCATTCTGGAACAGGAAAAATCGGAGAAGGCCACAGAAGATATAGTTGAAGAGCTTTTGGAAGAAAATTTCCCTAACATCTTGAAAGATGAAAAGATAAACATTCAAGAAGCCCAACGTACTTTCAGGATTATCCAGGAAGGATAATCCCCAAAAGAAAGTGACCAAGACATATAATAATCAAGCTCACCAAAATCAAAGACAAGGAGAGGATACTATAAGTGGCCAGGGAGAAAAGAAATGTCACTTATAAAGGCAAGTAAATCAGATTAAGCTCTAACTATTCACAACAAACCATGCAGGCAAGAAGGTATACACAAAATTCTACAAGAAAAAAACTGCCAACCAAGAATATTCTATCCAGCAAAACTATCAATGAAATATGATGGTGCAATAAAAATATTCCATGATAAACAGAATCTGACAGATTTTATCAAAACCAAGCCAGCACTTCAAAACATCCTAAAGGGAGTTCTGTGGACTGAAAACCAACAAGAACAGACAAACCAGAGATTGACAGGTGTGGCAACACCACCTGGAGCTCAGTGAACAGATAGCAGAGTCCAGAACAGAACAAGACTACAACAATGGATTCAAAGGAACTGGGAGGTCAACCGAAGATCAAAATTATCAATGACAAAGAAAGTACAAAGGTAGAAACAGAGTTCCAGGTGGTGAGGATGTCAGGTAGATTACAGGATACAATGGATCTCTTAAATGGAGAGAAAAGTTAGTAGATTATAAGGTAACCATAAAGAAAGTTAATACTTCACAATTTACCATGAAAATGAACTTCCCAGCAGAACAAGCAAACATGAAAATTAAGAAGAAACCTACAAGAAATAGTACCAAAAACACAAACCCAACACAAGAAGGCATGCAGAACAAAAAAACGAACAGCACACTATCAAAAAAATTAACATAATGGCAGCAATTAATTCATACCTAAAGGTAATTACATTGAATGTCAATGGATGGAATGCACCAGTAAAGAGACACAGAGTGGCAGAACGGATAAGAAAACAAGACCCTTCAATACGCTGCCTGCAAGAGACACACCTTACACACAAAGACAAAAACAGATTAAAATTTAAAGGATGGAAAAAAATATACCAAGCTAACTGCAACAATAAACAAGCAGGAGTGCAATACTAATCTCCAACAAAGTAAATTTTAAGATAAAAACCAGCATAACATAC